AATCTTCTAGATTCTCTTAATCTCTGTAGATATTGCAGAAATGATTCATCTTGTTTAATGAACAGGAATTTCTGCTATGTTAAGTTTCTTTTTACGTCGTAAAATTCTTTTTATCATTTCTGAAATAAAGTCAAATTCTCCAGTTATTTGGGGCATGCCATAATAGAAATTTTCATAATAACTTCACAACTAGCCAAAGCCAGAAAGAGGTCAGTTATTTCATTTTCTCCTCATCTTGCCTGTTTGTCTTTCAATATTGTAGCCCAAACCTGGATTGATAAACAGTGGATCTAAGTCTCGATAAATTCTGATTCATCCAAGCGATTTAAGTATCCTATCGATGTCGCCATATTGAATGTATTTTCAAGAAAAAATATTGTGAAATTCAATTTTACATAAAAAAGGAAAACTTGAATTTTCTTCGTGTTATTCAATAATTTCTGTTAATAATTTCTTTTTCAAATTTTAAATAAATTCATATCACTCCGATAAAACCAAAAATGTTCTTGATTACTTTATTTATTTAAATAGCATAGGAGCTTTGTAAATTTTGACAGGCTTGAATGAAACCCTACTCTAATGATCATAAAACTACGAACTCAGCCACATCATGGAATATTGTTGTCGGTTGTTTGCCTTTATAAATCAAGGAAATCTGTATCTAATAAAGAAAGAGATAAGAGATTTTGGAAGAATTCTTTCTTAAAATAATATTTCGAATTTTTAGGAAGAGGGTACGAGACAGAGTGTGCTATATTTAAATGCATTTCTAATGGCGTTTTATAGGCGCAAATTATGATGTCTCTACTTGAATGAATAAATAAGCACTTTGCTAAGAGCCGATATAATAATTTCCCTTTAGAAACGTTCGGCATCCATTGAACAAACTTTTAGTTTTAGTACCAATTGAATTTTATACAATCCTTTTCTTAAAACAATTATTCAGGAGTGTAAGCATCTAAAGTCTATTAAATGCTAAAGTCTTTCTAAAGTCTATGCAAATTATTTCCTAAAGCTTTTGTTTTTATTGAGTATAAATTTACCATATTGATTATTTAATTATTTTCTCTTCTATTTACAAAAGTGAGGTGAAAAATCCATTGGCTTAATATGAAGGCGTGGTGGTAGAGCGTAAAATATTGCATGCTTTAATTTAGATTCGTCTTAATAGTAAATTCAGCCTCCCCCACCAGATAAACTGATATATTCTACCTATTATTTTTCTTAGTGTTGAAAGCGTTTAAGTTGTAGTTTTAGTTATTCGGTAAAGGTCTTCATTTGTCAATTCGTAGCGCTATTATTTAAGGGTTGATCCTCTTTTTAAAGCTCATGTGATTAATTAATTTGAAGCTATTTTTAAGCGTTGGTCTGAGAAAATATTTGTATAATGTTGATAGCTTCGATAATTCTGAATGAGTTGGCGTCATGCATGACATCCGCATGAAAGTCTCAATCTGACGGAGTAATTTACGAAGGTCAATGTTGAGGCTTTGTATCATTGGAGGCACGGTAGAGTAATAGATAGCGGCTTATATTCAGGAATCGGAGAGCCGAATTCGAATACTCTTAAAGCCCCCTTCTTCCCCCCCAGCTATGGCTAAATAGCAGGACAGACCGGGTTCTATTGCCTTGGATAGCAACTGGTCTACTGCAGGAAGAAATATCAGACTACTACGTGAAAAATTCTGCCCCTGCAGTCTATCGAAAGAAATTTATATGCCTAAGCATGTATCACGTATGGGACATAACTGACTGAACATATAACATTACTGGAAAAAGACCCGTAACGCAAAATATCGTGTGTCCATCTTTCTTAGCTCCGATACTAAACTTGCAATAAGTGATTCAAACATCGAGGTATAAACTTCAGGAGAGCACACAACGCCTTTTTCGCCACGCGTTTTCCACTGACATGATATGAAGTGACTATATCAAACCAATAGCTGCATCTACTGCAAGGAAAGTTGGGTCGCTGTGACGTGCCAGAAAATGTTTCTCTTCAGAATCTACAAATCTACCATTCTTCAGTGCAATAAATACTGTTGCATATCTGGTCTGTACATCTCTAGATTCTTAAAAAAAATCCAAAGAAGGATCTATAATGCAATCGATCCTGAACAGGTATCTTTACTTCAGTCACTTTCTCACAGACACGACGTGGATTCAATTAGTTTCATGGCAACTGCACTAACCAGCTTTTTTGCCTGGTTCCACAAATCCATCAATTTAAGCGTGCTACTAGACTGGCAATTATGTCTCACCGTTTTTTTTAAAATAGATAAATGCAACCGCCACTTCTATTCCCGCATTTTATTTTCTTGCACATCGCACCTGTGGAACTTCCTTCCGTTTCTTTGCTTCTTTGATGACTACAATCTTTAAAAGTTTAAATGAAAAATCAATCGCAATTTTCTGTCTTCTTGAAGACTTTTAATCATTTGTCATTTGACGAGACCTCCCTATTGTCAGATTTTCTTTCACCTACACTCCATCTAACTTCCCAGTGTACTAATGGTTTTATCGCTTAGCCTGAGGTGAAATGATTAAAAAAAAATTACGGATTTTTTAATTATTAATCCGACGGGTTGTTATCCCTTTCAACTTTATTTTTATTGGATACTCTTATTTAAGTAGACGCCCCGTTGCTAAATGTAACGTTTAAAGTGATAAAAATCTGTCGGATTTGTAAATAAAAATTCCATTACTTCTTTAGAAAATTACTTTGTTTACGTTTGGATACGAATCTTCCTTCTATCTATTCTGTCATTCCTTTACATAAGCTAATTATATAGGTGACGCGGAGTTTCACTCTAACTTTCTAACCTTTCGATATCAGATTCTCCAAACCCGCCTTCATCAGTCTATGTGTCCTAATAATATCAGCTGCCCCTTTCTGATACTAAGCGCATCTATTTCTTCCTTTTGTTTTCATTTAGCTTGAAACCTCCTCTTTCTTCACATTGTCTGACCATGTTATTCCCAGTATTCTTCTGTGAACCACTTCTCTGTTGCTGCAACTCTCCTCTTCATTTGTGAGAAAATTGTCCAGGATCTCCGCTATAGAAGAGAACTGATATTACACAGCATTTCAAAATTATTTTCTAACGAAAATATCCTGTTTCTTAAACTATTGGAAGGTTCATATAGCATTTCCAATGCGCGTTTAGATTTCGGGGTCACATTTTCCATCTTTTGGAGTTTATATTTTTTTTTAAAAAATGAATTGATTCTTGTAATACAAAATTTTTCATAATATGGAATAAATTTTATGACATACACTAATTAGCATATCTTTGAAAAATAGGCAATGTTTACATGAAGAAATACATATTCAAATAGTGTCCAAAAAATTTATCTGAAACTTTAAAGGATATTTCCTTTTCATATTCTTTAACCTGAGTAATGAATGCGTTTTATTCGAAACTTTATTAAAATATATATATCTACATATTTATAAATATTAGAACAGAAACTGTAATAAACAAGTTTGTGTATATATTTCTTTGATAACATTTTATATATGATGATGTGCGTATATGTATGTGTAAGTGTAGAGGAGGAAACAAAGAGAACAAAGGAGGAGGAGCTGCAATAAGAGAAAGGATTGACGACAATCACTACGATTGATTAATAGATAGATCGATAATCACCTCTATTTTGCATGACTGTAACTTGAACGTCGCCAGACTTTTACGCATTTCCAATTTTTGTATCATTACATCGCAGTCCGATCAGTTAATGTTTAATTAGTTGTAAAGTTTTGCAATCAAGTACGGATTATCTCGTTTCGCCTGTGTTTATACATGTGCGTGTAGTGGGGGTGTATAGAAGCTCAAATTAATTATCTGAACCTTCAATTTCATATCAAATGTCCATTTTGATCAGATAAAAGCCCTACCGCTTCTCCCGTTACAGACGTGTTTAGACATCGTCCAAATATGTGAATTCGATTAACAATTACTTGCAGTAATTAGTCATTCACGGGGTATCTATGATTCAAAAGGATGAACAAATCTTTTGCGAAGATATCAGCGTTTCAAATAATAAAGGTCTTTTAGTTTCTCATATTTCCAGGCCTACATATTTAAGACCATAGATAGCATCAGCCTTTCTTTCAAAATTGATCACACTAGCACAATCTCTTTTTAAAAGCTCTGGAAATGTATGCAGTTAATTTGGCGTTCTCCTCTTACTTACTGTTAGCTATAACATATGAGGAAAGAATTACAAATTGGTAGAATTGTTAAATTCTCAGAATATAAATATATATTTAGTTTCAGCTTCTAAAATCTATCTTGACTAAACATATATTAACTTGTTTTGACAGTGTCTGGTTGTACTGTGAAAATAAATAAACTTGGATTTTTATTTATGAATAAATATTTGAAATAAAAGAATAACTTAAAGAATTGAATAAACTGTTTTATTATTTTATATGATCCCCCAAAATTCTATAATCTTCATTAGACTTTCAACCATCGATTCAGCTAACGTTTTATTTTTTATTTCTAACATTACTTACAACAGATGTTATTGTTTCCAGGGATCTTCTTTGCTTGAATATTATTTCTTGTTTTCACATATAACTCTTTTAATGATGGTTCACAAAATGTCTATTGGATTAATATCTATATAGATTATTGACTGTTACTTTAATTTGGCATTTCTGAAAATATTTTATTTGTAAAGAGACGTCATTGTTAGCTTTAAACTATGTAGAAGAACATATTTTGCATCAATATGCTCTTTCGCCTACTGGGTGTGACCTATTCCACTGAGGAATATTTTTACCAAAAATTTACAATAATTCGATGCATTTATCTTGACACGTTGAAGGGACGTATTATTTTAGTGTCCACAATGAATGTTAAACTCCCTGTTATTGGTTGTTGGCTCTTTACATAAAGGATTATATCTTTAGCTTAGCTATCAGATCCAATATAGCTTTACATTAATCACTAAAATAGCTTCTGAATAATCAGTTTCCATGTACCTCTTGCTTACGGTCAAATCACGCTGAAACACCGGTTCTCGGTCGATCACCGAAGTTAAGCATCGTAGAGCCAGGTCAGTACTTAGATGGGTGACCGCTTGGGAACACCTGGTACTGTAAGCCCCCAAAGTCCAACCCTTACCTCACAGTCGGTGGGGGGTGTAAACGGTAGTGTCAGAGCTATGTCGCCCGGAACTTCGTTCCTGGTAGGGCCACCCAAGGCGGACAGGTCTGACACACACGTCGGCTAACAAGGGCTCTGGTGAAAATCCAAGGAGCGTCTGCATCGGTAACCGGCGGCTTCTGGTCGTTCCTGTCTCTGCGTCTGTGGGAATCCCGCGGCAAGCAAGAACGTTATTCGAGTAGGCCTGGGTACCCTACTTCTGTAATTTATCCCAAGAATCTTCTTCTCATAACAGGAAGTGGCTTAACTTGTACAATTCTCCTTGTGATCATCACCTAAAGGTTTTACTTTGTTTGATTCTATACATTTAATTAATATTCTTCAAATTTTACAGATGTTTACATTAACTGCACTAGTTTCTTTCCGTCGTGTGTAAGGCGATAAACTACATCCGCGTCCTGGGTAAGGCGATAAACTACATCCGCGTCCTGGGTAAGGCGATAAACTATATCCGCGTCCTGTGTAAGACGATATACTACATCCGCGTCCTGGGTAAGACAATAAACTAAATCTACGTCCTGGGTAAGACGATAAACTAGATCCGACAGCAAGGCCTTTAATCAGGAGATATTGAGGAGCTTGGAACAATTTCTTAATTGCTGGTGTTCCCAAGTCCAGCCTGATTTGGGTGATAGCAACTGTCAGCGTCCCAGGTCTGGTCAAATAGTTAACACCCCCACCACCAAAGGGACCAAAGCATTATGAAAGTATAAAAATATGTTTTAGTATCAGCAATGCTTTTTTTGAAAAATTATTACCAGCAGTACATTTATGAAAAAAAAATGCCATCAATACATTTGCGAAAAAATATAATTACCAGCAAGACATTTTTGGAAAAAAATATTACCAACAATAAAAATATTAAATAACCAATTGAGTTTGATATGCAATAAAACAAAACAAACCAAATCAGTTTCTTCAAATATTTTCTTGTCGAAAAAAATTGTTTTCTTCTTGCACCCTATGTATCTATTATTTATTTTATGTATCAATAAGGCAGTTACTTTAGAATATATTTTTTCTCTTTTGAAGGTACATATTTCTAACCGTCCATGGCAATCTTCATACATCTAAAATTAAATAAATATCAGTAACGATTCCGTATATATATATATATATATATATATATATATATATATATATATATAAGAAAAACAGACCACTTTAAGGTTCCATTATAATAATTTATTTCACCAGAGCCCTTTTAAGGGACGCTGGATCATCAGATAACACGTCCAAAAAATGAAATGAAAGATGAAATGAAAATTCACACTTTTGACGGTTAGTATTTAGTTTATGTAATTTAACAGAGAGGGTAGCTAGGAGTGGTGAGAGAGACATGGTCGAGATTAGAGAGGGTTTATTTTAATATTTTTTTCAATCATACTTATTATTGGGGGAGGAGGGACCAGATCTTGACCTATTTAAACGGTTAACTTAACGGAAGTGATATATTGAAATGGGAGGGGAGAAAAGAGAAAAAAGAAAAAAGAAAGAAGGGGGAAGTAAAGAGAAAGAAGCTGTAATTCGGTTTTATGTAGGAAGAAGAGAGGTAGTATATTTTTAGCAATTTATGTAAAAAATAGATTTTAATGTTTGATAGTAATTTAAATGTTCAAAAAACCACGAAGAAATTAATTTGATGTTTGCCTGCAATTTAAATATTTAACTTTTTTACAAATAACTTAGATATTTAATATAACTTAAATACTGTATTTATTAACACATTGATAGATAGCACATTAAAAGAATTTTTTAAAATATAACAGTTTACTGATAGTAATCTTTTAATATTGTCAATGACTGTTAAGGTAACATCTTTATCAGTTTGAATCTAATTCATGAATGTAATTTGTAACTATTTTTAGATGGATAATCTTCCTTACTTAAAGTTTAGGTATCAAATTAAGATGGAGTAATATTTGAAGGTAATATTAAAGATTTTTTTTTCCTTATATATATCCCACATATACACTTATGTAAATTTTACATAAAAGAAAGTAATATTTAAATAAACCCTCTCTAAACTCGAGCATGTCTCTCACACCACTCCTCTCTACCCTCTCTTTTAAATTACATAAACTTAATACTAACCCTCAAAAGTGTGAAATTTCATTTTATCTTTCGTTTCATTTTTGGAAGTGTTATCAGATGATCCAACGTCCCTTAAAAGGGCTCTGGTGAAATAAATTATTATAATGGAACCTTAAAGTGGTCTGTTTTTCTTTAAATTATTAGCTCTAGATTTACATTTAGTTCTCAGGATTTCATCCTCCTTGGGACCACACATACGGATTACCAAGTTTTTCATAACTTATATATATATATATATATATATATATATATATATATATATATATATATATATATATATATAAATTTACAATATGATGAAGACCTCATGAGTTGCATAATAAAATCTGACACTACCAAAAATGTTATTGTAATACAGTTTATTTATGAAATGCATATAATTATATGGAGAAAATTTTACAAATATCTATTGGTTAATATTAAACTTATGAAGAGATTAAGTAGAAAATAAAATCTGACTGTTGAAATATCAGAATAAGGCATGATAATTTCGGGGTCTGATCAAAATGCTTGGTCATTTGTTTTAGTTTTGGAAACTTTTCAACACACACATATGCCACACTGCCATTCATCATCGTTATCATCTTGATGATTGTGATGCTGACCTTAAAAAGAAGATAAAAACCAGAGGTTCAACTGAACAATGTAATGCTTCACTTTCATCTTTTTTCCACCCTTTCTCGAACAAAGCCAATAAACTTGGCACAACATCCAATCGGGTTTTCTATACGAACATTTTATTAGCCGTGTTTTTAGACCGACAGTTTTTTCAAAAGCAATTATATTGGAGGTTGTCTGCACACTATCAGAAATCTATACCAGGGTCGGAATAGCTTAGTAGATAAGTTAAGGCGAACATAAAAGTAGATTTTCAATGAAACGTCTAATTATCACTTCGATAATAAAAGTTTATTTTTAAACGTAAAGTTACATCCGAACCTGCTCCATTCGATCTTTTCATGTTTTACAAATCGATTTATGATAAAACTATCCTATTATGCTACATTAAAATAATGATTAAAAATAACATTGAAATCACCCCCAAATAGCCTTCAATTTGCCATTTCTTTTATGCTGAAAGCAGAGTTCAGAATACTTTAATAAATGATAATTCCTTACAGTCGTATATATATGTGGGAAACGTTATATCCAAATGTATTACCTTCGACACAGTGATTTACGTGTCATTAATTTCTGGCAACAGCTACAGACAAATTACTTTGAATTAAAACGTTAAAATGGGATCGAAACGGCAAGTATTAAAGTAACAGTCAGAATAATTAAGTGTAATGGTAATACTTAACATCAGAAATTCAGAAAATGAGAAACTTTCGTTGAAATAGAATTATAAAAACAACAAAAAGCTATTGTAATCACAGTTAAGGATTTCTAAACCTGCCTGAGTGTCAGCTGTGTTAAAAGTTTATTACTCTATAAATACTAGAAGAAGTATTTTCTCTTTCAAAACAACAGATGCCTTTTGTAGTAAAATGACTTATCGTAATAGGGTAAGGACCGCCACAAAAAAACTCCACACCTAAGGTTTAATATGAATTTTTAAAAATGAAAAAAATCTTTCTTGAATCTTTTATTTAGATTTAATTTCAAGCTAGTAGATTAAATTTAATAAGTTAAATGTAATATTTCTAATAATCAAAATACCTTGCTGTATTTCAAAACTAAATGAAATTGACTGGAAAATAAAATCAATAATGAAAGAACGATTTATTTCTGACTTCTATTGTTATCTAGTACAACACTTTTTTTTTTACATAGAATCATAAAGAAAAAAGGTTATTTATAATATTTTCATTTTGAAGTCATTTCATATTGAACTCTATGCGTAGGTGAGATTAATTATCAATTTTTAAATTCCGAACAGGAATGAAAAGCAATTGTCAAAATCTTTGATCGATACTTGTTTTGCTTTCCTCAAACGAATTATCAAACAGTTTGTTCGGCGAACACTTGTCACTTCAACAAACCAAATAATCTTGAACGTGTTTTGCACGATATCGGCGCTCATTAATTGAGAATTGTTTCATCTCTATGTAAATTGTGTTACATTTATAAGCGTGGAATTAATGCTTGACAAACTTTATCACATGAGGAAATTTCAAAGAATTTCATCTAATATATAAATTTTGGCAATTTCTGTATATTATAAAAGCTAGAATAAATGAGTAAAGTATTATGGCTTTTTCCAAATATGTATGAAACAATAAAAAATGGAGAAAAATGAATATATCCCTTTTTTAATTGAATGGAAAATAATTTTAAAAAAGTCAACGAATTATGGAGTGGCATTGATATATTTTACCTTATGCCATAGAGAAAGATTTGAAATCTCTATGGTCAGAGAATAGAAGATAATTACATCCAATATTCTTTTTAGGATTATTTCAGGCTGAATATATACTAATTTATAGCAACATAAATTTTCATTTCAATATGATTATATCTTTCTTGTTCGTTCCTTTATTTGTTTTCTATCTGTATACTCCTTCATTTTACTATTGCCATGAGCTCTGAAAATTGTAACACGTGTATCAAACACACAAACACACACGCATGCATATATATATATATATATATATATATATATATATATATATATATATATATATATATATATATTCCGAACAATAAAATAAAATAAAATTTTCAGATACACTGGATTGCATATTAATATTGTTTATTTTATTATTTTAATTAGGTTTTGATTGTGTAAACTATTCGTGATCTGCGCTTTACAGAAGATTGAGCACTTGTAGCTCACACCCTAGACGATTGAGCACCTGTAGCCTACAGCCTAGACGATGGAGTACTTGTAGCCCACGCTCTAGACGATTGAGCAATTGTAGCCTAAACCCTAGACGATTGAGCACTTGAAGCCCAAACCCTAGAGGATTGAGCACTTGTAGCTCACACCCCAGACGATTGAGCATTTGTAGCCCACACACTAGAATATTAAGATATTTTAGCCCACACCCTAGACGATTGATCACTTGTAGCCCACACCTTAGACGATTGAGCATTTGTAACCCACACCCTAGACGTTGGAGCACTTGTAGCCCGCACTCTAGACGTTTGAGCACTTGTAGCCCACACCCTAAACGATTGAACATTTGTAGCCCACACCCTAGAAGATTGAGCATTTGTAGCCCACACCCTAAACGATTGAGCACTTGTAGCCCACATCCTAAACGACTGAGCACTTGCAGCCCATACCCTAGACAATTGTGCATTTGCAGCACACACCCTATATGATTGAGCATTAGTAGCCCACACCCTAGACGATTGAGCACTTTTAGGCCACAACTTAGAATATTGAGTACTTTTAGTCCCCCCCATAGACGATTGAGCACTTGTAGCTCACAACCCAGACGATTGAGCACTTCTGGCCAAAAGCCTAGACGAATGAGCATTTGTAGCCCACACCCCAGACGATTGAGCATTTGCAGCCCACACCCTAGACGAGTGAGCATTTGTAGCCCACAACCTAAACGATTGAACACTTTAAGCCCAAACCCTAGACGATTGAACATTTTTAGCCTAAATCGTTGAAGATTGAGCACTTGTAGCCCACAACGTAAACGATTGAGCACTAAGCCCACACCCTAGACGACTGAACACATTTAGCCTACACCCTAAATGATTGAGCATTTATAGCCCACACCCTAGACGATTGAGCATTTGTAGCCAACACCCTAGACGGTTGAGCACTTGTAGCCCGTACCCTAGACAATTGAGCACTTGTATCACACACTCTAGAATATTGAGCACTTGTGGCCTACACCCTAGACAAATGAGCACTTGTAGCCCACACCCTAAACGATTGAGCACTTGTAGCCCACACCCTAGACGATGGAGAACTTGTCGTCTACACCCTAGACGATTGAGCACTTGTAGCCCACACCCAAGACGATTGAGCACTTGTAGCCTACACCTTAGACGATTGAGCACTTGCAGCCTACACCTTAGACGATTGAGCACTTGCAGCCTACACCTTAGACGATTGAGCACTTGTAGCCCAAATCCCAGTCGATTAAGTACTTGTAGGCCACACCCCAGACGATTGAGCACTTGTAGCCCACACCCTGGAATATTGAGCAGTTGTAGCCTACACCCTAGACTATTGAGCACTTTTAGCCCGCACCCTAGACGATTGAGCAGTTGTAGCCTACACTCTAGACGATTGAGCACTTGTATCCCGTACCCTAGACGATTGGGCACTTGTATCCCACACTCTAGAATATTAAGCACTTGTGGCCTACACCCTAGACGAATGAGAACTTGTAGCCCACACCCTAAACGATTGAGCCTTGTGTCCCACACCCTAGACGATTGAGCAGTTGGAGCCCACACCCTAAACGATTCAGCATTTCTAGCCCACACCCTAGACGATTGAGCATTGTAGCCCACACTCTAAACGATTGAGCCTTGTGGCCCACACCCTAGACGATTGAGCAGTTATAGCCCACACCCTAAACGATTCAGCATTTCTAGCCCACACCCTAGACGATTGAGCTTTGTAGCCCACACTCCAGACGATGGGGAACTTGTAGTCTACACCCTAGGCGATTGAGCACTTGTAGCACACACCTTAGACGATTGAGCACTTGCAGCCTACACCTTAGACGGTTGAGCACTTGCAGCCTACACCTTAGACGATTGAGCACTTGTAGCCCAAACCCCAGTCGATTAAGTACTTGTAGGCCACACCCCAGACGATTGAGCACTTGTACCTTATACCCCAGACGATTGAGCTCTTGTAGCCCACACCCTGGAATATTGAGCAGTTGTAGCCTACACCCTAAACGATTGAGCACTTGTAGCCCACACCCTAAACGATTGAGCACTTGTAGCCCACACCCTAAACGATTGAGCACTTGTAGCCCACACCCTAGACGATTGAGCAGTTGGAGCCCACACCCTAAACGATTCAGCACTTGTAGCCTACACCCTAAACGATTGAGCACTTTTAGCCCACAATCTAAAAGGTTGAGCACTTGGAGCCCACACCCGAGACGATTGAGCACTTGTAGCCCACACACTAGAGAATATGCAATGGATCGTTAAGCAATTTCTCACTTCCATCTAAAGCTTTCGCTGCTCTATTACTGTTTCTTTGACAAATTTTCGGATGACCTCTATTTATATTTTTTTCAAAGTACTTACATTTTTTAATCCAACTCTATTATCGCTAAAAGACCACACAATGCCGCTTCTACGAAATTAATTGACATTCACTTTCTCCGCGTTCCACTGTTTTTCTGTCAGATTTCCCTAAGAAGTGCCAATTTGTGAAACATTTCCAACGTGAATAATTCCCTTAGCAATACTGTCATAATATCTTAGCAGTAACATTTAACTTGAGTAGCTTTTGTGCATTATATCGCGCCAAGTTCAAGAGTAAAATCTATCTATCTATCTATCTATCTATCTATCTATCTATCTATCTATCTTTTTCATATCTTATTTTGTTACTGGTGATCAGTGGAAAATATCATGAAGCCATTTCTGATCTAAGGTCTATGATTCGAACCCAGAATGAAATGTGTATACAACAGAAATAATAATAATACTAATACTACTACTACTACTACTAATAATAATAATAATAGTTACATAAGAAAATAACAAAAGCCGGCTGTGTCTAGAGATTGTGTTTTTGCAGCGGTATATGAAGTTGATTTTTGTTCCAGTTAAAATGCCACCAATCCATTCTTCATGATTCTAGTTTTGAAAGCTCTTCAATATATAAAGTTTCTATGAAACGGATATTCATTTATCAAAATATATGAGTGTACAAAATATTCAATGGTTTTCTATTGTATTTTTCAGTCTATAGTAGAGATAAAACTATGGGATCGGCAAAAGTGATAAAAGTGAAAGATCATGATACATTTGGACATTTCAGGTTCAGTTATATCAGTCTGGAATTGAGACAACATAAAAGAAAAGTATTTGTAAAGTAATTGATGCAACGGCCATGACGGTCGAAAGTTAGAAGAATATATATATCAGGAAACTGTTTACACACTGTTAAAATTATAAAAACACGAAATGTTTCATATTAATGCATTTAAATATCATTTCGTGTTTCTCGATAAAGTTGCTATCATTCTGTTAGGCACGTGTGGCTGAAACCTTGATGTATGATGATTGTGTTAAATAATTTAGTTTCATTTGGCTTGTTTTGTTTTATGGCATAACAACCTCAGTGCCAACAATTTTTTCTCATATATAAATAAATAAGTATAAAAAAAATAGTATTCCTTGTAACAAAACTCTTTCTAAATAAAGTTTCATTAGCACTTTTGCAAAGAGGGCCTCTGTCAAGTGTCAATTACATTGCTGGTATTATTCTTAAAATTAATAAACCTTTATTTTTGTTTGTTTAACGGCATATCAATTCCTTATGGGTCATTTAATGCTGAAATTTAATTTTCTTGGGAACATTAGTAATTTCATTTACAAAAATTTACTGTTGGCAATGTTTTTTTTCTTCAAAAATGTATTGCTTGTGTTTTTAGTATAAAAATTTTTGACCTCAGTTTCGGGGATTAACTATTTTTCTCATAGCTGGGACCGTAACAGGTGTTCTCATCCAGGGTTAGGATGCACCTGGGAACAACAGCAATTTAGAGGTGTTTCCATGCTCCTAAAAACCTCACGATTAGATGCCTTGCTGCCGGGTGTATTTTATTTTCATTCCCAGGACGGAAATACTTCACTGTGTCAGTGCAATGGGTATTAATGTTCAATATATTTATGACGTATTCTGAAATTTTTAGTACAATGAAGAAAGGCATAATGTTTCAAATCTATGATGGCGCCATGTTACTTTTCCAAATTTCAAATCTAATGATATTGTCATAGATGTGAGCATATTTCGAAATTCTGCGCAGAAAACTTCTCCTTTGAGAAGAATAAATTTTCGATCATATTTTGTCTAGAAAAAGAAATAACGAAGGAGTCAAAAAATTATAAGAAGGAAAAACAAAAATAAAGTTGTTTGCATTAAGAAGAGTGAAATGTACAATAATGACGACATATCGAATTATCAAGTGTTGGAAAACCTGAGTAAATTGTAAAATGATTAAATAACGCTATAATAATAATAATAATAATAATAACATAGATACAAACAAACACACACACACACACACACACACACACACACACACACACACACACATATATATATATATATATTTTGTGTGTGTGTGCATCTCTATACATTTACATTGTGTATTGGATATAAATTTCTCCTATTTTACATATTAATTTTTCTTAACCATTTTCTTTTGTTTTTAAAATGTGAGCTCCCTCCAGGCAGTAGAAAGTGAAGACAATCAAAATAGAAAGAAAAAAAATAAAAAAATTCAGACAAATGAAAACAAATATTCCTTTTTTTTTTAAATCATAAGTCGAAGTCAACTATAATTCAGTTAAACTCAAAGGACATTGTACATTTGTTAAAATCAATTACAGAAAGATGTTTTAATATTCTAAAGATTAAAATCAATGCAAAAAATCCAGACATTACTTTTTAGTCTGTAAGAAGAGACAATATCTGTCAGTAAAAGGAACAGTCCAGCATACAAATTACTAATTGAAGAAACACAAATCAAGTACAACTATTTAACTACGTGTGAAATGTTTTAACAGAAAATCCGAGACTGAGATGAGAAGGTGCATTAATATAATGAAATTAACCTTCCATAATTGTTTGAATCCAAGGAAATCTCAAAGATTTCTAAGTCTAACTACCAAAGAGATATTGCTGAAGTTTAAATATATTTGTACATCGTTTCTAACATATTATGAGAAACCACAAGTGTGTGTATATATGTGTGTGTGTGTATATATATATATATATATATATATATATATGTCTTCAAATTTAACGATAAAGTCTCTTTATCTCTCTCACTCACTTTTTCTGCATGAAGATACACCCCCCACACATATATATATATATATGAATGTCACATATAATTTACCAACAAATCTCATGAAGATGAATATAATTACGCAAAACTCAGGGTAGAGGCCGTAATAATTTAAGTTAATTCACTTAAATTAATTAATATAATAACTTTAACGATAATCAATGTTAATTTTAATTAATTATAATTATTATGTCTATTATATGGACAATTATATACATATTAATATATATATATATATATATATATATATATATATATATATATATATATATATATATGCGTGTGTGTGTCTGTGTGTGTATAGTTTCTGTATATGAATTCTACACACAGGGCTTGCATACTCACATAGAGAATGCTTGCATATATATTTAAAGATAGAAGAAGGGGCATATAGGCAGAGAACTTTCATTCAAATTCACAAAGCTGATCCTTAAATGCAAAACAAATATTATGTGTGGAGCTATATAAATTCTATATCCTCATAAACGTAATTCTACATCCACTTAAAGATTCCTCTTACTAGTTTTAACAATTTTGATTCACCCTCTGTTAATACGTGATTTAATAAATGTATTGAAAATGTTTGCTTTATTAAATACGTTTTTTTTTCTTCGTAGTATATTTGTATTGATTATTTTGGAAAAATCCGATTGACTTTATCGACTCCTTCTGCTCCAGATCCAAGTGCAGATCGTACAAGTGCTACTCTCGTACTGCTTTACCAAGTCGATTACTCGTTTACCTTGGACATGTTTTTCGATAATTTCTTTCTTTAATTCAATGTAAATCATCGCCCGCACTTTCTTCGGACCAATGGTTGGAAAAATAAATTGTTGCAAAAAAACTGAAATAACTAAATTTGAGCACAAAACTTCTGCAAGCGAACCGCTTAAAATGAACGATTAAGTTATGGGATTCGCTGTGACGTCCGTTGCATCAACTTCCGATGCGGTATCTGAAGCTGTCTCGTAACCCGAATTTTAGCTCCCAACTTAAAGCAAAAAGTCTACCGAGAGACGGCTCGTATATCGAAAAGCTCATTAGTTGGGACACTCCTCAAGGTACCACACTATCACACACACACACACACACACACACACACACACACACACACACACACACACACATATATATATATATATATATATATATATATATATAATATAAAGCATAAAATAATTATTATAGCCTTAGTTCGTTGTCAAGTTTTTTGTATACTTGTATTTTGATTGGAGATTCCACCTTATGTAACAGCGTTTCCCTTAGCGAGGAGTGTTGGATTGATTTAAACCTTTTAAAACCCTTTATTATACATTAAACATCATCACTTGATAGGACACTAGAGGTTTTGAAACAAAATGGCTATTTTTGTAGTGATTTTATAACATATTTATGTTATAATTTTTGAATAAATAATTATATATATATATATATATATATATATATATATATATATATATATATATATATATATATTATAGCTTATTATAATTATATATATATATATATATTAGGCAATTGAAAAATCAGTGTGAACGCGATTCGATCTCTAAAAAGACTTCATCAGGTTAGTCGGTATTTATCCGCGTGCGCACATGCCAACTGAATGTGACATAAGGTCCCATTTTAATGTAGGATTTTAGAAAAAGCGTATAAATATTCTTCAAACCCAATGAGCACTACCCTTTTTGGGTAATGCCACAGGCACCGTGTGATGAACTCAAAGGAGAGAGTGCCAGGGTGAAGTTTTTCTTGAGCAGATATCGATTTTAACTACCCGGTGGAAACTCACTAGAGTAAAGTAATGCTTTTATTAATGGAATTATTTATGTTTTTGGTGAGGGTGAAATATAAACGTGAATGTCTATTATAATTAAGCACTCCACGGATGGCGCTGATGGCCCGAGAACGTTTCCTTTTAAATTTGTTGTTTTTATGCTTACATGTTTTAAAAATTAGTTTGCGTCACGTGTAAATACAGACGAGGTATGTCTGAAAATTAACGAGACTGATGTCAGAAAGAATTTATTTTAATTCCAAGCAACAAACTACATGGTTTCCACTTCAATGTAATGCCCCCTCTAGTCTAATGCCCTTTTCCATCCTTGTCTGTCACGCTTCTTGATGATCCCCTTGAGCTTAGGGAATAGAAAACAAAAGTCACACGGAGCAAGATCAGATGAATAGGTAGGTTTTTCCAGTACGACGATTGTTTCCTCTCAACTCCGACAGCTTTGTTACCGTTCACTTAATTTTCCGGTCGTTTACCCGGACAACTGGCTAAGGGATGACTAAAAGGGACAAAACGTGGCACGGCTTGGAATAGTAAAAATCACCTCACTCTGGTCACTTAAATACAGAGGAACAAAAGTACTTCGATGTAAATTTCAAATCAGCCAGTGATATAACGGAAATTTAATGGAGATTGACAGTTATACTTGGTCATAAACACCCTTCTGCTAAATAATTTAAATAATCGCTTTAGTTTCCTTTCTTTTACTATACGGTCAGTTTCAGACCCAGAGGAGTGA